CCACTGGATGAGACTTTGGTGGACTCTGGACTAGCCTGTAAGTACATTGCCATTGGGGACACTAAACACACACCCCCAGAGATTGAGATCTCTCCAATCACCTTTCCAGGGGGTCCGGAGAACCTCATTCTCTTGGTGTGCTGCACTCACCCACCCTTCTTTTTGGCAAAGGGTCAAATCATTGCCCAAATCATACCTATCCCAGAAGAAATCCCAGTGGATGACCATGCACCAGGCATCTACTGGGCAGAGGTTGTGGGTGAAGACAAACCTATCATTGATTGCAGCATCAAGCAGAGTGCAGAAACATTAAATATGAAGGGTCTGCTTGACACGGGAGCAGATGTGACGATCATCCTCGAAAGGAGGTGGCCGTAACATTGGGAGTTGCAACCTGTGGCTGGCAAGATTCAGGGTATAGGGGGCACACAATTGGCACGAGTATCCAAGAGCGTGGTACAAATTGCGGGGCCAGATGGGCAATTGGAAAATCTATGCCCATTTGTTGCAGATTATCAGGTTTCCCTGTGGGGGAGAGATCTCATGTCCCAATGGGGGGTGAAAATAGAGATCCCGAAAACCCCTCGGGATTTTTAGAGGCGGCCACTGTAGAGTGCCCTTTCCAGAAATTAGATTGGACAACTGATACAGCGGTCTGGATTGATCAGTGGCCACTAAGAAAAGATAAATTAAAGGCGCTCAACAAACTCATGGAGGAGCAATTAGCTAAAGGGAACATAGTCGAGACAACCAGCCCTTGGAATTCCCCAGTCTTTGTAATCTGTAAGCCGGGGAAAGACAAGTGGCATCTCTTTCATGACCTTCGTGAAATCAACAAGGTCATTGTAGACATGGTACCTCTCCAACCCGGAATGCCTACCCCAACCATGCTCCCACGAGATTGGAAATTGGCAATTATTGATATTAAAGACTGTTTTTTTCAAATTCCCCTGCACCCTGACGATGCCCCATGGTTTGCCTTCTCGGTGCCCACCCTTAACCGAGAAGCCCCAGTGAGGAGATTCCACTGGCAAGTGTTGCCACAAGGCATGAAGAACTCGCCCACCATTTGGCAGTGGTATGTTTCCTCATTGCTGTCTCCCGTCTGCGCCAAAGTGGGGGAGGCCATCATCCACTACTATATGGATGATGTCCTTGTGTGTGCCCCCCATGACAATCTACTGAGACGTGCGCTTGACCTGGTGGTTGATGTTCTAACCTCTGCAGGATTTCAGCTCCAGGAAGAGAAAGTTCAAAGGATGCCACCCTGGAAATATCTGGGCCTACAGATCGCTGAGAGGACCATTGTTCCTCAAAACTTGGCTATTAACAGCGATACGAGAAATCTGGCAGACCTCCACTCTCTGTGTGGGACCTTAAACTGGGTCAGGCCTTGGCTGGGCCTCCCCACTGAGGACCTAGCCCCCCTCTTCATATTATTGAAGGGGGAGAAGGAGCTGAGTTCTTCCAGGTCTCTGACTCCAGAGGCACGGAAAGCCCTGGAAAAGGTACAGGATACACTAGTGGAGAGGCAGGAACATAGGTACGAGCCGAACCTGCCATTTGAGTTTATTGTTTTGGGAAATCTGCCACACCTGTTTGGGCTTATTTATCAATGGGACCAGGACTCAAGGGACCCACTCTTGATCATAGAGTGGGTTTTCCTAAGTCACCAGAGGTCCAAAAGTATCACGAGGCCACAAGAGTTGATGGCTCAGCTTATCAGGAAGGTCAGGGCAAGGCTTTGGGAGATGGCTGGGTGTGGCTTCACATGCATATGGGTACCAGTTAGTCTGTCTCGGGATAAGGCGTCCCCAGACAAACTAACTAAGGAGATGTTTAACCAACTGCTGCAGGAAAATGAGACTCTCCAGATTGCTTTGGGTAGCTACTGTGGACAGGTTTCAGTCCACGCCCCTGCCCATAAATTATTTAATTCAAAATTTAATGTGATTCCCAAGGAAATTGGGAGCAAGAAACCTCTCAAGGCTGTGACAATTTTTACTGACACATCCAGAGCATCCCACAAGTCAGTGATGACTTGGAAGGATCCTCAGACTCAGCAGTGGGAAACGGATATTAAGTATGTGGAGGGATCTCCACAAGTTGCTGAGTTAGCTGCATTCGTCAGGGCCTTTGAGAGGTTCCCTGAACCATTTAATTTGGTGACCGATTCGGCCTATGTAGCAGGGGTAGTAGCAAGAGCAGAAAATGCAATATTAAAGGAAGTTTTAAATCCTCAGCTTTTTGAGCTGCTTTCAAAACTAATATATGCCGTTTCTCACCGAAAGCAGCCTTTCTTTGTCATGCATGTAAGATCACACACAGAGCTCTCTGGCCCGGTGGCCGAGGGGAATGAAAGTGCAGATTCCCTTGCAGCCCCTGTGGAGATGACCCAGCTTCCTGATGTATTCCAACAGGCCAAACTGAGTCATCAAATGTTCTATCAGAATGTACCTGGCCTGGTCCGCCAGTTCCATCTAAGGCGGGATCAGGCCAAGGCCACTGTGGCCACATGCCCACAATGTCAATCGGCAGCAATGCCACCTCTGGGCTCGGGGGTTAACCCCCGAGGTCTGGGGAGCTGTTAAGTGTGGCAGATGGATGTCACCCACATCCCAGAGTTTGGTAGGTTCAAATAGGTGCACCTCTCCATCGATACGTTTTCTGGTGCAGTCTATGCCTCTGCCCACATGGGAGAGAAGGCTTTGTATGTTTGTAAACATCTCATGCAGGCTTTCTCTGTGCTGGAGGTCCCCAGAGAAATCAAAACGGACAATGGTCCAGCATATATTTCCAGGAAACCGGAAGATTTCCTGCAGGAGTTGGGAGTGGAACACAAAAGAGGCATCCCCCATTCCCCCACAGGCCAAGCAATCATAGAGCAAGCCCACCAATCGCTCAAGCAGGTCCTAGCCCCCCTAAAGTGACAACATGAAAAGTTGCACACCTTAACAACAGCTGTGCAAGGCACTGTTCACAATCAACTTCTTAAATTGTTCAATGGATAATATGAACCCTCCAGTAACTCGTCATTTCCAGTCTGCCAGTAACTACAGATTACAAGAACATCCTCCAGTGCTGATGCGGGACCCGGAGTCCCAGAAGATCTTGGGGACCTTTAAATTAGGGTGGGGTTACACTTGTGTCTCCATGCCCCAGGGACTGAGGTGGATCCCACCCACAAAGATGGGTGAAACCTTATGTCCCAAAACACCCCAACAGGACGCCAGAAAAGGGTAAAAAAATTGATGTCGCGTTCCGGGACGCTGCCACCAAACACCAACTAGAAGGAGGAGGAAACCCCAAGTCCCCTTTTTACCCTAGTTTCCCTTTCCTGAATATATTTGTTGATGATTACTGATGTGTATTTCTCATTTTACTTTAGGAAGAGCCATCCTGAAGATGTTGACCATGATTATCATCTGTCTAATCCACCTGGTGACCCAGAGGGCAGCATGGATCGTGCCCCAGCCTAAACAAAACGTCTGGGTGACGTTGGCAAGGACCCTGCACCGTGATGACCTGTGCCTTTCCACCGGAGCATCAAGAAATCCGATGGCTGCCTGCCTGGTGGGAATCCCTTTAAAGCCAGAAGAGTTTCCAGCTGCCTTGGTCTCCTTGTTCCACAATATCAATCAGGGTAAACCTGCTCATTGTGTTGCCCGATCCGGTGTGATCCACCAAGTAAAAAGGCCAGTGAGGAACTCTCTTCTTCTGTGGAGGGACTGGCAGGAAGAATTGGAAAGGGCAGCCAATGAACCTCAGGAATTTGATCTGCTCAACTCCTCCCCAGCCTCTTTTTGTGTTCAGTTTGATTATCACCCCTCTGACCCTACCCCTTATTCCCAGGTCCGGCAAGTCAATAAGCAGTTTCAAGCTGCGCAGTGGTGCAAGAACATCACCCATGTTAAAATGCCTTCTACCCTTGAGTCTTTTCCCAGGAAATTAGATAAAGGGTTGTTTTTAATTTGTGGAGATCGGGCTTGGGCAGGCATTCCCTCTTGCCACCTAGGAGGGCTGTGCACCTTAGGCTGGTTGTCCCTGTTCTCACCCAGCATGACTCAAATTGACACTTGGGCTACAAAAAACAATTCGGCTATTAGAAAGCGCAGCCTTGATTATTTAGACCGAGACTGCGATTCTAAAATATTTCATTGGAGCAAATTAAAACGCGCTGCAGTTTCATTATTCTTGCCCTGGGTGGTGGCTGCGAAGTTGCTGGGTGAATTAGGCGAGCTTGAAATGTTGGGTCGTGAAACAGGCAAATTTGACATCAACTGCGCTGAGTGACCTCCTTGAAGACGAGGCGATTACCAGGCAGGACACACTGCAAAATCGTGCAGCCATCGATTTCTTGTTGCTCCTGCACAACCATGAGTGCAGGGAATTCGAAGGGCTATGCTGCCTAAATCTGTCCTCCAAGAGCCCCAACGTCCACAAGACGATCAACAAAATGAAAAGCATGATCCATCAAATAAAACAAGAATCGGAGGACTGGGTCACCAACATGTTCTCTAATTGGGGAATATCAGGATGGCTCTCCTTGGTTATTAAGTCAGTTCTGTGGATTGTACTTGTTGTTTTCATGATACTGATTATGTTTGCTGTTTTACACAAATGTTTAGTCCAATCAGTTTCCAGTGTTTTGTCCGCCCCACCACTAGTTAACCACATTGATTTAAATCCTCCTCCTTCCTCCTCACCTCCTCCTCTGCCAACCTGTGAAGGTTAATTTCTAGAAGAAGTTGTGCTTTCTGCTCCCCTGGACCCTACACTCTGCTCCCCCTCTTTCTAAAAAAGAAAGGGGGAGATGTTGTAGTTTGTTTATTTAATTTTGTTAAGGATTTGTTAAAACTTGTTAGTATGCTCTTGTTTCCCCCTATTGATTGTATTGGTTTCACCCCAGTTGTCAGTTATGTAAACCCCTCCTATTTTCCCTGAATGTTCCCTGCCTGTCACCTTAGCCCTGCCCCTACCCCCCTATTCATCATTGTAAACCCCACCCCTTCTTCCAGACCCTTCTGTATCAATCAATTATCCCTTGAGGCCCCACTGGTTAGTGTCTCTTGCTCCCTCCCTCTGTGAATCCCTATTGGTCCGAGTTTGTGATCCCCTCCCCTTACTCCTCCCCTCGGGATTCCCCATTGGTCTACAGTTTGTACCCTCCCCTGGAGATCAGGCCATACTTAACTCCTTGCACAGCAATGCTCAGGGCTCTCTTGGACCTGATCCCTTCCAGCGTGGGCCCCTTGTTTCCCTGACCTAATTAAACCATTGCTGGGAACCTCAATCCAGGAGAGACTCCTCTACTTTCTTGTCTCCACACCTGATGCCATGCACCACAGAACTTGGGGTGGCCCAAGACTCTGGAGGTTTCACTAGGGGAAAAGCCTACTCCCCAGTGATTCCCCACTCCTGGCATTTGCCTGCGCTGGAGTGCAAAAACCAACATAGAGCCAACCGGAGCTCCGGTGCAGTGCAGCGTCAACATTCTACTGTGAACCATAAACTGTCATGGCTATGTGCTTTCTTGATGTCTCCCATTTTCTCTGCAGAAATTTTGTCCAGTATCTATTTTATTTTTTTTCCCAGGTGTTTAGTATTTCTGCATTAGAATACACATGAGTAGCAGCTTCAATTGGATTTGCTGTTCTACATTAGGAATGTTGTACAATTGCTTATTTCAGGATATTTCTGAACAAACAAGATACTATGTGCAGTTCACAGCAGCACAAATATTTCTTAGAAGCATGAGAATTATCGTATGTATACACTACAAGTGATTCATTTAAGTACAGTTACTCAGAGGCCTCCCCAAACTCTGAAATTACAGCTCAAGAAGCTGTAAAAACACCAATAACAAATTCAGAACTGCAAATGGAATCTCATCTCCAGAAAATTCAGATGGCTGTAAGTTTAGGAAAGCATATAGTTTTCCAGTTTAAAACAGAGATAATGTAAATATAATCCCATGTGACACAAGAACAAGGAAGCATTCATTAAGTTTAACAAAGAAAATGTAGAAAATTTAAACTGGTTAAAATAATTTTGCTGACATAGTGTAAAATTAGCCAAGGATATTTCTGCAAGAAAGCATTACTTAAAATTTGTGTTATTTAAAACTGTGATTAAGAACAAGTGCCTAGCAGAATATAAGGTCTACTTTGCAAATTATAGAGATAATGTCAACATCTAGGTTTATGTTAGTATAAATAACAAATACCAACAATTATGGAAGGAATTATTATAAATCTATATCCAGAATTTTACATTTCAAAGTATTTGTAAATGATTAAGAAGACTATTTCTTCATGACTGGATTATTTCTTGCCCTTGTACTCCAGAGTACTTTCCCAAGGTCCTTTTATTCCTACTGCTTTACCAAAGACTTAATAAGATTTAAGTTTTTTCTTCCTTCATTACAGCAATTTCTATGTAACAAAACATTAATTTCTGTATTAAAATCAATTAAATAGTCCTGCAAATACACAAAGATTCTAAACTAGATTAATATTTTTTGTTTTCCTTTCTTACAGCTAAAATCACTTCCTTTGCATGGCACCAGGACTCCGCCTACTGAGCTTCTAAACAAACTATTTCCTGTTTCATACCCTTTTACACCTCCAAAACAAAGCAAAACAAAAATGTAACAAATCAAATACGGTTTTATTCCAGGTCACATTATCTACATAATCCATTTAGATTCTAAAACACAACTGTAAGATATAAAATATTGCTCTGATGGTCCTCATTTGAGCTGGACATTTAAACCAGTTATGAAAGAATAACAATATTTAAATGATTGTTTTATTGATAACATGTGATTGCTATTCATAGCAATTAATAACTGGTTAATAAATGTATGTTTTATATTGAAATAGGATAGGATAGGATAGGATAGGATAGGATAGGATAGGATAGGATAGGATAGGATAGGATAGAATAGAATAGAATAGAATAGAATAGAATAGAATAGAATAGAATAGAATAGAATAGAATAGAATAGAATAGAATAGAATAGAATAGAATAGAATAGTCAGTTGTAAGGGACATAAAATTATCATCCAGTCCAGTTGCCTGACCCCTTCAGGCTTGACCGACAGGTAAAGTGTGTTATGAAGGGCATTGCACAAATACCTGTTAAACTATGCATTAGAGACTCAGCCATGTTCCTATCATCCAAACCTCCTAAAATACCTGTTGATATGGTTTAGCGAAAGCTGAGCCCTGCAGGATAACTAACAAAAACTCCCAAGGCAACCATAACAAATTAAAGTTTCATTAAAGAGTCCGAATAGTCTACATGTATTTGTATCTCACATTAATAGATCAGGTTATACACAGGCTATTAAGTATGAGAAAATCTCTCTATCTCTTAAATGACTTTCTAAATAAAAGCTCCTTGTAATTTGAATTCCTAGCAAGGTCTCTGATTAATTCAATTCATTTGGCAGTGATATGTTGAATCAAAGAATAGACCCTAGCAAACAGGGTGTAAAAACCACATATTAAAAACCCAACAGAACACCCCCCACAGAGCCCTCCAAAATTCGACAAAAAGCTGCTATGCAAACAGGTACTGTAGATC